CCTGTTGAAGAACCCAATGGATCAAAGATACAGTTACCGGCTTCGTAAACTGCATATATGGCCTGTAGATTGTAGCTTACCACTATCGTCAGCCGATTGAAGTCGTAGGAATTATTGGATGAAAATACTGCGTTAAGAAGGGTTAAATCTACGTACGCGAGATGTCCGCGACGTAACTTTTATTTCTCAGTCACTGATAACTACGTTCCAAACTGAAAATAATTGAACACGATGCATGTTGTATAGTTGATTGATAGTAATTAACCCCATCGCAACACACTGGCCTTAATTCTCCTTACGAAAGCTGCAGCGTATTTACGAACCAATAATGTCCTTATCCCGCGTTTTCCATATACCATGCAGTCTTGTGCCCTCATGGTCCGTTTGATATACAAAGTAGGACGGTATTCACAAATCAGTCTTTTGATTTTTACTGTGTTACTGTTCTTGTGCGCCTATAATTCACGTACGTAATGTGCACCGAAGCTTGTGGAAAATATGAGATAGGGATAAGATTGGTACACGTGAATACGGGCCTATAAGTCGCTAAACACCACGTAAAAATACATAAGCACTGCCTACAGCCATCGTGTCTTGCCCAAAAAGAACTTGGATGGTTATCCATTCAGTTACGTTAACCAACTTTCACGGTGTAAAACACTTATGCGAATTCAAGTAAATTCGTTTCTCCAAACAGGCATAAGCCTGAGACATATCGCTTCTGTGTCGAAACCTTGAAGGTCCGGGTAAATAAACGAGTTCCTCATATTACTTCTCATATAGGGTAAATACATTTCAGACTTGATACGACCACCTTTTGTCCCCGAACATGCATATTATTCAACTTAGCTCCGAAGTAATCTTAACGGCTTACTCCTTGAAACAGCCATCTTGGTAAAAGGCAAGCGCCACGAGGTAAACGGAGCTAAACTTTGTTTTATGGCTTGTACCAGCCTGTCAATGGTGCATGCATGGTTTGCCAACTAACCAGTGGCGTAGACTCAAACACCATAAGAAACTTATATGCCGACGTAATTTCGCATGCAGTTACACGTTGCGTTTGGCATTTTCATTCGTGCATCGTGCTACATTGAACGACAATGCAAGGCGTTATGAGCCCTCCCGTTTTCTCCCCCATCCCCCTCCCATGTGCAGGGTAGCAAACCGGCAGCCCATAGGCTGGTTAACATCCCTGCCGTTCTTTTCCTCCTATTTTCCTTCCTTGCTTCCCCGTTCCCATGCTTTCTGAACTAGCATTAACGGTCATGAGAAAACGAAATGGAACCAGAGGATATTTTACAATGCGCACCTTTTATGCACCGTTGCCATCAGCGTTTCTCTTCTTCTATCGGAATTTCTACAGTGTCCATAGCGTTTGTGTTTTAATTTGGCGCTTGCATTTTCATTCTGCGTACAGGTAAAACTGTTCTGCGACTGTCAAAATATGTACGGTGCCACATTCAACAAAAACATGCTGTAAGCTTGTGCAACATGTCTGGAAATTTTCTTATCAGTTTATTGAAAGTGTCAAGTGACGAAGCCTGCATACCTTGCAGGAAGGTAATGGTCCCTTAGGTACTACGTTGGAAATTAATGCAGTAATTCATCTATTTGCAAGCGATCAATATTTACGTTATTAGAAATGAGATATTGACCGGGATAAACAAGGTGAAAAAAAAATTAACGAAAACAAGTGTGTGCCACAAACAGATAGAGCAACCAGCTCGCCACGGACCTAATGCGCATAATCGAGTTTGTGTTGTACTTGTATAGCTTTTTATTTAGAGATATTATTAAATCCTTATTGTATCTTTCAGAATAATAACTCTTAAAATATGCCTTTCACATAGCACGCGGGCCCGACGGAATTGAAACAGTGAGGATTATAAAACGAAAATGAAGCTACTTTGCCGAGGAGCATATTTTAAAATTCAACTTTCGTCATGCACATGCTTTTCGTATAAAGGTAAACGAAGTGAAAATTACTGAGCTCAATAATTATAGTCTTTACTCCACTCATTTGTAGCATGAGCATGACAGTGATACTCATCTGTATCATTTGAAAGGCCAAGTTACTGTTTTTTTACACTCGAAACCTTACTATGCTTGACGTCATATGAACTTCGCACATTCCTACAGCCGTAAAATAGGATGTCACGGAGCAATCACGCTAAAGCATTCATCACTCTTGTAGAGCATATTATTATGTATATATCTCCAACCATTGACGACACATACAGTGTCAAAATCACAGTATAATTCACGAAGCAAACACAAAGTACTTTTATTTTTGTTTCTTCGGCTATAGGCCACGTTCTGTTCTCACTTTAAAGCCAGCGTAACGGATTTGAACTAATAGATTGCATGAATTTTGAATCTCCTATTTTATTGACCAAGTTCAGTGAAATTGAAAATGTCTAAAAGTCATAAGCCTACTGGTGGCAGTTTCTGCTTAGTTCACAAGTAATTGACATTCTGAGTGTGCTACTTTTTGTTCGCTCTAGTCCATCAACAAGCACGACTGTGGCTCGATATGTCGATTGTACAGACGTTAACTGGAACCACCTTCGTGCCTCATTACCTGTAATCTCGAAATAGAGCCAGTAACTCCAGCTCTTGTTCGGTGCACAACTGCTGTCGTCAGTCCTTATATATGGTGCATGCGTTTTAATCCTACAAATATCTTCTTGTCTTTTCGTAACATTATTTTTGTCCCATTAAAATGGCACTAGCTCACCTAACAATTCATGTGAATCCTGGCTAATGTTATCGTGATCATAATGTTGCCCCCCTTTTTTTTTTCGTTGTTGTTTCTACAAAATCTACAATGTTTCTACAAAATCAAGACACGTTTTCCGTTAAGAGAGTAAATAAGTGCATTTTCTTCGTTTGTTTAACTGTCATGGCTTTTGATTTCATCCATCATTCTTCGAAACGTGTATTTTGCATAAAAAAGTATCAGTAATTATTTCCTACATGACCTTCCGTTGCCTATGCATTTACGGTATCATTACGACCATTCTCGCTTTGCTCAATAACCTTTCCATAGAGCAAATGTGCATTGAAATACTTAGCTAATATATTCTGAGCGAACTGATTACCAAACGCTTTAATGCTTGTGAATATCGGAATATGCTTCTGTCTTACGACTTCGTGTCGACGTACACTAATTTTGCCGCCCTGGTATTTCTTTCATTTGCAATACTTCATTTCCCTATGTATCTTCCACTCTAACAACATTTCGTATACTATTGTTTTGGAGTATGCGATACGGTTTGTTTAATAAATTTTATAATTTACAAGGTGGTACATTATCGGCCTGATGCGCGAGTACTATACCGTGCGCTTGAAGCTCCCTGATTGAAATTATTCTAAAAATTTATTCTTCAATTGGCGTATTCTATATAAAACATTTAAAAACAGATCGGGTTCAATTCAACGCACTGCCATTTTGCTGCTACTCAAAAGTTTCACAGAATGTGTTACTAATCGAACGTTCCTGTATTCCTTTTTCTACAGAACTGCGCACTTGTAAGCACTCTGCATGAACGAGATGACGAAGGAATGTTTATACAAATGTCCTGTATGGTCACATCGACGTATATAAAAGTTCGAAATAAATTTCGTCTTCTTCACGTGAAATATTCACCAGTGCGTGGCAGGCCCACTGCAAAGTATACAGGCGCAAAAATGCACATAAAGCATTCGATTATTATTTTCCCCCAGTGATTACACGGGACATTTAACGTCCGATTAGCGGGCCTTAATGGTGGAACGCACGTGTACCGGCTGATATATCATCCGCTGCTTTGTGACAACGAAATTAACAGTGCGATCAATTTTAACGCCGTCCGTCGGTGCCACCACGTACAATGCACTACGATGTTGGTGTGAATCGGGAAAAAAATGGGCCTATTACTAAAGCAGCCGATTCGCGTATATGTTTAGTAATAATTTATGGGCATCTGCGGTAGTTAACGAAGAGAGTGTAGTATACATTCGATAATGATCATCGCTTCCGGATATATTCTATTACTGTATACTATAGGTATATAAAGCTGAATCTATTTATCTGACTGAATCTGCGTGTGGCAATTGCTTAAGGAATTGTCATGTTTGTAAACAATGAAAGCCATGCCTCAAGCGGTGTGTGCGCTCCTGTGGTTCCTAAAATATTCTCAATCTTTTAATTAAGCGCATATGTTTAGTACCACTAGTGTACTGCAAAAAAAAAAAAATCATGTCAAGTAGTTTCATTCTCGATCATATGGTCAGAATCAGAAGCGATTTCCTGATTTGCATGTTTTCAATTACCGTGCGCATGCAGAAGCACGTGTGATGCAAATGATGTCGCTGTATACAGCTAACACGCGTCAGCAGGCGGGACGCTTAATTTCTGCAGGCGTGTTGGGGAACATACGAACTCTAGGACATATGAAGTCTCATCCTGTATACGTAATAAAGACAACAGCTGTGCTCGCCTCTACATCTATACAGAAACTCACGATGTAAGACGGGAGTGTCCTACATCGAGTGTCTTAGCTTATATATATAGTTGTCACGTGTGTTAGAAAACACGCAGAATATTTCGCGTGCGCAACAAACGAGCAGTCGCAATGTTTTTTTTTGTGTTTTTTTACTAGCTCACATGTGGTTGTCGAGTGTCTCTTGAACTTTAATAACTAATATTCGCGCATTATTCTAACCCACACACCAAGAAATTCTCTTTTTTGTTTATTATAGGGCCCTGTTATCGGGAAGACGTAGACAGCAGTTTCGACTTCCCTCATACCCCATTTCACACTCAATCAAGCCAGACACGAAGATGCTTGGTCGATACTATTTGAGCGCATGCATGACACGTTCCCGGGAACAGTTTCCCGCCAAGCGCTTCGATAGACCAGTAACGTAGCCTACTCTAACAAAATGAGCGAAGCTATTACAGAACCGATACGCGGCCGCATGGTGATGGTGGGTAGCACGTGTTGTGCTGGTGGCGTGATTGACTGACTACTCACCTGCGTTGACGTGCGCCTTTTTCATCCAGGGATAGATGACAGGCTGCCCGGCCTGATTGCAGTCGCCGCCGGCTACCGAAGTGGGCGCCGTGGCGGTGGCCCCGGGGCTGTGCATCGGGGGCGCGGCCCCGACGTGCGGCGACTGCGGCGAAGGCCTGAGCATGGACGCCGGCGGCGGGGGCGACGGAGACCGCTGCAGAGGCGCGGGAGGTCCCGAGTACGGCGGACTGTGACCTCCGCCGGCATGGTCGAGCGCTACGCTGGGCCGCGACAGCGGGCTCAGCGTGGTCTGTGTCATGGAACATGAGTGCTGGTAGTAGTGCGGCGACGCGCTGGACACGTAGCCGCCGTTCTCGGCCCCGTACGGCGCGGCGCCCCCGAACGCCGCGTACGGGTGCGCGGCCGCGTGGTGGTGGTGGTGCGGCGGGGCGCCCGCGTAATAGTCACCGCCACCGTGGCTCGGGATGTAGTTTCCCTGCGAGTACTCCTCGGGCGGCGGGAACTTGGGGTCCACGTAGGACGGCGAGTTCATCAAAAACGAACTCATGGTCATTAATTTTCGCCAGCTGAATTGGATGATGGAGATAGTTTTGCTTCGGTTTCGTCGCCGAGCAGCGCCATGGCTCCGCCCCGCCGCTGGAGATTAGCATATCACGTGACGGACGCCATCCAATGACGGAGGCGGCGCGCGCGGCGCTGAACCCGGCGGCGCTCCGGCGTCGGCGACGATGATGGATGGCGATCGCGTTGCCCGCCGCCGGTCCGCGCACATGCGAGGGACTCTCCGGAGAAACGCCGGCCGCTAACCTGTCCGATGCACGACGCCGAGTTTCACCACGCACAGAGTCGACAGCGGAGGCGCGTCCACAAGAGCACGCACGGGTTGTATAATCCAAGCACGGGCGGACCGATGCGGCCCGCGCGAGCAGTCGCGATCGAGTGGCCGCTCTCTCACGTGGCAGGGCGGACGCGCCAAACTTGCCGACTATAGCGCTGCCGCCGGCGACCGGAGTGTTTGTTGGGGAAAGGGGCGGGCGGAGGAGGGGGCGCCGCGCGGGGAAGGAGAGCTGGTGGGAGGGCGCTCGGCCGGAGCGGCGCGCGCGGGCAACAAGTTTGGCAACTCCACTCGGCCGTGGAGTGGCGCTGCGGGCGCGAGCGACTCCAGTGCTCGCCTGAGGCCCTGAATTTTTTTTTTCTTTCTCGCGTACAATGGCGAGGGGACAGTCATTCTCTCTTCCTGAATCGCCGTCGTTACGCTCTACAGCTGGGATTCCTTCGAATGCGAGGGTGTGGATACACAAAAGTTCTATTACATGAGCGCCTTTCACTACACTCCGTTGAATGGCTAAGTTGGTATTCAGCCCATTTTTCACCTCCTAGGCGTAGAGTACCGTGTATTATGACAACCGCATTGTGCGCTTTCATCATGTTGGGTCTCACCTCTTACTACGTATGGGCGCAAAACGTAAGTTGCCCCACTGTCTTATACCCCTAGAAGTGTGGCAGCTTGGGCTAGTTGGCATGGCATGACGATAGTTATAGCGCGAGAAGAAAACGACGACACAGAGACAAGAAGGACACGAAAGACACGAGCGCTAACTTCCAACTCTTTCGTGTCCTGGTCTCTGTGTCGTCGTTTTGTTCTCGCGCTATAACAATCATCCTTATACCCCTGTCACACGGCACATGTAACGACATACGCAGCGGATGATATTCATAACGAATGTCATCACAACCTTGCATTGCGGGTCGTCACGGCTATGCGAAATGACCTTCGCAATCGATGTCAATGTCTTTCGGCAGACTGCTGTGATACCAAAAAGTTACATATCGTGGACTTATTTAACGCAACACTGTCCGACCGGTTCGAAATAAACTGTGACGCGATAGAACAGCATTAGTGGAAAAAAATCTTGCAGATATCCAAAGTAAGCCTTGCTTGAAGCCGCTCACAACTTCCACTCGGCTACATTTGAGACCATGACAGTGTTCATGAATTTGTGACGGTGATTAATTTTAATCATGTGCAAACGATCATTAATTGCTCTCCAGCTGCCTAGCATGAAGCATCAGAACCCACTGAAGCAGCTCAAGGAAAGAGATCACAGACGACGAGAGATTTATAGCTGCACCTAGAGGCCAATTCTGTTACGTTGACTGCTCTTTGGGCCTCGACTTCATCGGTGATTAACAGAGAACAGTGGTGCTTCACAAGAAAAGAAAATTGGTTTAAAAACACTATCAGCGGGCGTACAACACGTGCTTGTGTATTCTGCTGTTAGCGAGTCCAACGTGGTGTTGCTGCACCAAAACATCAGCGAGTGTATGGAAACATGACTGACAGCAGGCAGTATGGCATCAAATTGGAGTCTTCTGAAAGAGAATAAAGCTGCAGAAATTGCTTGGACTATCGCTTTGAATGTTAAATAGTTACCGAAAAGTTAACAAGAACCTTTGGTAAACATCTGAACATCGCTAACATTTGCTTTACGCCCGTTGACGAGATCCAAATGTCGTACTTTCTGGAGTTCAATGAACACATTCTAAGTGCGAATGTTGTTATAGGTGTGCATGTCATTCGCTATGCCTATGTAGCAGCAATAAAAATGAGATTATCACCTAATGCCATTTGCAGTGAATGACAATACAGGTGTCGTGTGACCTGGGTATTATATTATTCCTTATTTGCTCCAGCTCCCTGAGAATATTCTCGTCAAAGGTTTATAGGCTTACTACGTAAGACGCCCTGCTCAAATCCATATTTTTTTTCTTTCTTCATTTCGAGTTCTTCAATTTACGTTTGCTCATCTCTTAAGAGGGACAATGTCCAGCTGAAATGTATTGCTTGGTGTCCTTCTTGCCGCCTTCAGTATACTATTGATGGGCTATGCAAACTGTGATGCTTGTGAATTACTTCGACTATGTTGTTGTGTTTCATGTATCTCGTTGCAGATGACACACCCACATAATATTATGCACTATTTTTCTAGTTCCTGTAAAGAAACACTAGCAAATTGCATATTTATATGTCTATAATTAGTGATCATCTGAGCGTACGAAGACGGCAGTAGCACCTGCATGGTATATATGCTTAGGCATGCGTATTTTCATAAATTTCTAAGCTAAATAATCCACAGCTTTTGGCCAATGTAGCGACCATCATCAGTGCAAGTGAGCAAAGAAGACCTATTTAGCAACATTATAAGTATTTTGCAAACGATTACGTACACGGGAAAAATGTGCAAAGTAAAAAGTAAGTATATGTGAGCAACCAAGTTTATGTGTGAGTGGTATGTTTACCTTTCTTTTTGTATCTTAATAGGCTTCCTTTTATGCATCACCTACCTCGGCCTAAAGCTTCATGCGTGAGGCTGGCAGTATTTTGAAATAAATAAACAAATAAAGTAAGTGCATTAAGAATATATAAAATAACAAATTTTGTGTAAGAGAAACACTTGTATGTCTATAGCGAATGCAGCATACATTTATTTTCCAAAGAGTGTAGTACTGTCTTTTGTAACTCAATTCAAGAATACATTAGGTAAGTAAAACATGACATGTGCATTTACGTATTAGAATGCATGGCTGCGTAATTCATCTAACAGATGAAATACTCTCCCGACAACCGTTTGCTATGCCAAATGAGCAGCCTTTAACTCACAAGCAAGTTAAAACTGCTCCTACTTATCTATACCACCAACGTTAGGCAATCAAGTAAAACAATGCGCCAACAGATAGGCATAAACCCGGATTTCAGGGGCAAATCGAGCTCGAAGTGATAAAAAACAAAAACTGCATCTGATCCAATGTTTCAGCGCGAGGAGTTGACCCGATCGGAGTCCACTTGTCGGAATGATGGCTCCATGGCGATATCGTCCCTTATTCCACGATTTCTCCTTGCTCACATACAGTGGCTTGTGTTATGAAATACATGCTTATATGGTACATCCATGTATTATGCTTATATATACAGAATTACCAAAATGTGACATGTTATACAGTGCATCCTCATTATAATATTTACCAGATTGTAGGTATTAGCACGCCTGGCAGTTTGAGAAAAATAGCACATGTATAAAAACAAGGTGCAGAGTGTGAATGCATTGTTCACTCATGGTGTGCTCATATGAGACTGTTTTCAATGAAACAACCAAAGGTTGATGATGTCGGGATAAATGATGTGTTTTTAGTCACTTGAGATCAGTCATACGTAGATTATTGTTCGTAACACTAGAATACACACATAGAATCCGAAAGCAGAACGTTAAACATATTGGTGTTTGTCAGTATAACTGTTCCCTACATTCTCTATAGCTGCAATTGCATACAAATAATATTTGTCGGACACGTGGGCTTGCTAATTAATCTTGTGTGAACACCAGGTAAGCTTTCTTTAATGGCGCCGTAGTAATGTTCTGTTGCGTGGTGATATACCATTAACCCAGATTTTTCTGTGAAATACATAAAAATACGAACTTTACTATAAAGTTAACTTTGGTGTTAATGTCCTTTCTGGTTATTTGAAAAGATACGTATTGACCCACAAGTGCACTATTAATGCAACGAATATTACAACAATACAGTATGAGTTCGCCTGTGAAGGAAAAAACGAAAACTTATTATTCTCTTCGCCTGCTCGTCCTCTTAGCATCTACCTTCGTTAAATATGTTCCATGCCGCTTCTCGTAGATTTTTATTATGTGGCGTCGATGCTGATTATTTCGTATTAATATATAAGCATCCAGTAATGAGAGTGATGAACAAATCAGTTTTTGTCAAAGACGATACGTCACTTCACGATGCGAATGAATGCGCAAAATGTTCCAATACCTCAAAGCTTATACCGCACTAAAAGTGCTGTTTCAAATTCTATCTGAGCTCCCCCATAAGCCAACTACAAATAAGTTACATATTTGCCTCGAACAAAAAACTATAGTCAGAATGACTGTCAGGCAAGAAAAATGAGGGTATGAGAATATGATATCAAAATATTATTATACCTCAAAAGACAGCCAAAAATTAAGGTTAATAAATATAATATCGAGAAATTATTTCTTAAAAAAAGCGGTGCCTCAACTAATATAAATATAATGCAAAAGCCAGCCAAATAATGATAGGCACGTTGGCTGTTGACTAATAATTTTAAATAGGTCATGGTGGCTTGGTGGCTGTAGCATTTTGCTGTTAAGCACATCGTGACGGCCTCCGTTTTCAACCAGTGCTGTCGCATTTGGGTTAGGTCAATATGCCAGAAATGGTTCTGTTGCTGAAGTTAGGTGCATATTCAGCAACCGCAGATGGTCCTATATCAATACGAAGCTATCTATCCTGATGCCCAACATACACGATTGCATAGTACTACGTCATTAATACTCACAGCTTTGTATAAGCCACGTGCATATAAAAACAGACATTGCAGACAGAAAGCACTGTAGAAATAAGTGCTCTATTGTTGCACTTGAAATTCATAAACAACCTGGTAATTAAGAATGAATAAAAGTGGTTGAAAGGCTATAGGTAGACGCTACATTCTTTCCAGTATTTTTCCTCAACTCACAGCATTTAAACAAGAAGTTGAGTGTACTACAGTAGTTATAACACTCCTTAATTAGAATTAAACTTTAATAAACTATAATGACTTTGTCTGTGC